CCATATCTTTTTTTTTTTTTTTTTTGAGGTGGAGTCTTACTCTGTAGCCCAGGTTGGAGTGCAGTGGCACACTCACGGCCACCCCAGCATCAACCTGGTGGGCTCTGGTGATCCTTCCGCCTCGACCTTCCAAGTAGCCAGAACTACAGGTGCATGCTACCACACCCAGCTAATTTTTCTGATTTACTGTAGAGACAAGGTCTCACCATGTTGCCCAGGCTGGTCTTGAATCCGTGGGCTCAGGCAATCCACTAGACTCAGCCTCTCAAAGTGCTAGGATTACAGGCTGAGCCACAAAGCCTGGCCAACTTTTATACCTTAAAGACCCTACATGATCTGGCCTGCCCACCTCTTTAATCTCACTTTACCTTTCACTTTTCCTTTAACTTGACTTCAAAATGTATTTCATTGGCTCCTCATATTCTCCTCTTTAATTCAATTTAAGATACTATCATAAATATACTTAAATATATTTACCAATCCTTTAAAACAAAATCAGGTTGCTGAACATGGCTCACACCTGTAATCACAGCAATTTGAGAGGCGAAGGCAAGAGGACTGCCTGAGCCCCAGAGTTCGGGACCAGCCTGAGCAACAAGGCAAGACCTTGTCTTTACAGTAAATAAAAAAATTAGCTGTGCATGGTGGCACACGCCTGTAGTTCCAGCTATTTGAAAGGATCACCTGAGCCCAGCAGGTTGAGGCTATGGTGGCCGTGACCATGCCCCTGCACTCCAGCCTGGGCAACAGAGTAAGAAGACTGACTTAAAAAAAAAAAAAAAAAAAAAAAAATCAGCCTCAGTTGGCATATACTGCATATTGGTTGCAATTTAACAGTGTATCTCATATTTTGATTGTTAGCTATTAAAAATATATTCAGAATCACTTGAAGGACGTACCAGTAAGCTGAGACCAACACCCAGAATGAGCAGCTTGAATGCCTATCTGATTTTCAGTCACATGACTACCATAATTATGAGCAAAGGAGGCCTTTGCTTAATACTATAGCACCATAGATTTAAAATAAGTCCCTCAAAGGCAACCCCCTTGGGTCCTCTCCCACTGTGGGAGCTTTTCTGTCCTCTCAAGAAATCCTGCTTTAAAAATAAAATAAGTTCCTCAAAATAGAAACACTTGAAATAGTGATTTTACAGTAATTAACAACTCAAACTGTCTTGGAATTTTTAATCTCACAAATACTTAATGAACATGTCCTCAGAGCGCAAAGTATAGTAAAACTCATACTTAACAGTAACAAGTTTAAATGTAGTAAGTGCAAACAAACAGTTCCACTGGACAGGCACATAAAGGGATAAACTAAATGGTAGGGGAGGACAAAATACTTGGGACCTTCTTAAAACTACAAATATAGAGTCAATTTTATAATCCAGTGATTATATACCATTTATCATAATCACTAGTGGCCATAATGCAATTAAACACAAGGTGCTGTTTACAGAAGCCCATCAAGCCCAAATTAGTTCTCTTAAGAGTTGATATATTAGTCTTTCTTCTCACAGTTAACAAATCTCTCAGCTCTCTAGAATAATTAAGACCCAAAGTAGCACTCAAACTCTTCAGTCACAGCTTAGACTCCAACCCCATCCACAAGAAAGACCCCAAGAGTTACCTGTTTTTACTCTCCTAATGACATACGCCCCCACACGTCCAGGACAAACTTTTTTTTTTTTGAGTCAAGAGCCTCACTCTGTCGCCCAGGCTGGAGTGCAGTGGCACGCTCACGGGCACCGCAGCCTCGACCTGATGGGTTTAGGCGACCCTTCTGCCTCAGCCTGCCAAGTAGCTGAAATTACAGGCATACACCACCACAACCAGTTAATTTTTTACTTACTGTGGACATGAGGTCTCACCAATTGCCTAGGCTGGTCTCAAACCCTTGGACTCAGGCAATCCTCTCACCTCAACCTCCCAAAGTGCTGGGATAACAGGCTTGAGCCTCACATCCAGTCAACCAAGATAAACTTTTATGTTTTATTTGAATCAGTCTCACTCTGTCACCCAGGCTGGAGTGCAGTGGCACGCTCACGGCCACCACAGCCTCCACCTGCTGGGCTCAGGTGATCCTTCCACCTCAGCCTTCCAAGTAGCTGAAACCACAGGTGTGTGCCACTACACCCAGGTGATTTTTTTATTTATTGTAGAGACGCGGTCTTGCCATGTTGTTCAGACTGGTCTCGAACCTCTGAGCTCAGGCAATCCTCTTGCCTCTGCCTCCCAAAGTGCTGGGATTATAGGCACGAGCCACCGTGCCCGGTCCAGGATAAACTTTTATTTTTTTTATTTTTTTATTTTTTGAGTTGGAGTCTCACTCAGTCGCCCAGACTGGAGTGCAGTGGCCGCTCCCGGTCACCGCAGCCTCCACCTGCTGGGCTTCGGCGATCCTTCCACCTCAGCCTTCCAAGCAGCTGGAACTACAGGCGCGCGCTACCACGCTCGGCTAATTTTTTTTTATTTATTGTAGAGATGAGGTCTCGCCAAGTTGCCCAGGCAGGTCTCAAACCCGCGGGCTCAGGCAATTCACTCACCTCAGCTTCCCAAAGCATGGGATTACAGACTGAGCCACCAAGGCCAGCCCGACGAGAAACTTTTAAAAGGAGTTAATTGACAGAAAGGAGCCAGGACTATGAAAATACTCCAGTATCATTCACACGTGCACAGGAATTTACCTGATACACGCAGTACCCCAAATCAATACTAAGGGCCCACAGTTGCTTAAATATCTCAGCCCTACCTATATACATTGGCTATGGAGCAGGGAAGTCTCGGCCTCACTCAGGAAGATGCTCCCCAAAGAAGATCCAAACACTTAAAAGCATGACTAGGCCAGTCAGAGACCCTTGTACATTCATCTATCTCCCTCAGTAGACTGCAGGACCATCCAGTTATAGAGGGCAGAGAGCTGTGAAAGCTAACGAGCTGAAATTTGCTAGACAAAATCTTTTGAATTCTCCCAAGCTATTCACAAACAGCAAGGTATAAAAGAACACTGTAATAAGCTGGAAATCTTGAATCTTAGCTGACTCTACAGGCTAACTGTTTGGGAGTACATGGAGAATAGCTTAACAAGGAAAATACTTCTTGTCTGCTCCTGACTAGATATATGATCTTGTGAAATTAAGTCTCTGGGACTCACTTTCCCCACGTGTGAATGGGGTCGGACTACCAGTTCTGAAGATAACTTTTAGGTCTAAAATTCTATGAAGAAACTGGTGAATAACTATACAGTATTCCTACTCTCTTCTTCCCTCCAGCACAGATTTCTACAAGAGAGGGTGTAAGTCTAGTACTAGACTTGACTCAAGTCAAGCTGCATTTTCTATGTTTTATGTCCCCAACAGCCATCAGTGTTCCACAAAAGTAGCTGGAACCAATTAAAACAATTTATCAAAAGAGATCCCTCAATAAGTCATTCTTTACAGTTAAGAACTGGTTTTTTCAGTCCAAACCATGTCACTTGTGTCAACTGCTCAAAAATAGTATCTCCAGCATCTAGTCATGTCTAAGGTGACAACAATCCACACGAAACATTACATATCGGGGGTATGTGACACTAAGTGGCCGAGAAATTCTCACCACATATAATACTTTAAAATATGGGTGTTTTTTTTATATTTTTCCCCTTCAGATTTGGCAGAGAGCACTATAATCTAATTACACATCTGCAAGAAACATTTATTTCAAAAGACTGTCTTAAAGACAAAAATAATCAAACAAGTTCACCAACAGAGGTACAAGTTAAAATTCAGAACTATTAAAAAAAAACACAAGTGGAACCAATCAGGTGAAAAGATTACCAACTGTCCACCATAAACCACTAAACATGGTTTTTGACCAAATCAATTGGATGCAAAGTAGTGCTATCTGATGAAAACGACCCGAATCTGTGGATCAAATCAGTAAGTACAGATGTTCAGGTGATTCCTAGTCAAAATTGTAACTTAGAGTGAGCAAAACTGAAGCTATTTCAATGCAACATCGCTTAAATCATTTATAATTTTTTAACTGGAAAATATCCTTTTTCCCTCGATACTGACAGTCCTAACCCCTAAGCTTTCAACACAATCTTTAACTTGCACAATCTCCAAGAATAATACATTAAAAGAAGAAAATCTATCCAAAGCATAACTGGACTTCAATCCGTTTAAATGGTTATTCACATTTCACATTAAATATAAAAGGCAAAATGGAGTTGTAAAGAGTTTCTTTCCTATTTCAACTCCGACAGCCACGCGCACTTTGCAGCGGCTGGCTACACCGCGCGGTCGCGGGTCCCGGCCCAGAGTCCCCGCCCTGCTCGGCGCAGCCCGGAGAGGAAGCGCCGGGGACCGCGGGCGGGCGGCTTGGGCTCCACCAGGCCCGGCAGGGCGGGGGAAGGGGCACTGGAGGCGACCGGGCGCGCTTCCGGGGACTGCGCGGGCGGGGCCGCCGCCTCGGGGCGCGGGGCCAGGGCCGGGAGTCAGGGTCAGGGGCCAGGGGCGGCCGGCTGGGAGCAGCAGGTGGGGTGCGGCCGCGGCGGGGCGGCTGGCTGGCGGCCGGAAGAGTGCTGAGCGGGCCTGGGGCGCCGCGGCGCCTGGAGGGAACCCTTCTGCTCACCTCAAGCAACGACTTTGAGTCTAGCCTCTTTTCGCCGAAGATCCCTGTTCGCGAGTCGCAAGCTCGGAGATGAAGACTGGTAAGCTGGAGACGAGACAGGGGACTAACGAAAGAACCGACGGAGGACCGCGGGCGGCGGGCGGGGAGCGCGAGCGAGGGCGGGCGGCGGCGGGAGGGCGGAGAGCGACGTGCGCGCCCCCGAGCGCCCAGCGGGCTCGAGCCGGCTTCAGTCGCGGTCCCGCGCACGCGCGCGCACTCTACTCAATCCCGATTGCTCAGGAGTGCGTCCACGCCCTAAAAGCAAGACGCTTAACCAATCGTCGCAGCCGCGTGGGGCATCACGGGAACTCTCGGGCTATAAAAGACCTGGTTGCTATTTTATGCTCCCGGGGTCACTCGTCTTTTAAGCAAGTAGGGTGGGGCTAGGTGCGCGTGCGCCGTTTTAACACTCCACCCCAAACTGCCAACTCTTCAAGCTAGTGAAGTAGGCCCCTCCCTGCCGGGTTTACGCGTGCGCACGAACAGGCTTGACCCCGGAAGACCTCACGCCTGCGTCGTGGGAACTACGGTGACAGTACCCCGGGCGGGGCACGGGCCTGTCATGGCGGAGCCCTGGTCTGGGCAGTCTTTGCAGGCTCTGCCGGCCACGGTACTGGGTGCGCTGGGCGCCCTGGGCAGCGAGTTCTTGCGGGAATGGGAGGCGCAAGACATGCGCGTGACCCTCTTCAAGTTGCTGCTGCTGTGGTTGGTTTTAAGTCTCCTGGGCATCCAGCTTGCCTGGGGGTTCTACGGGAACACGGTGACCGGGTTGTATCACCGCCCAGGTGAGGCTCCCTACGAATCTCTGTGGGCTGCCGCCTCCACCCTTACCGGACTGTACCACTGGGTTCCCCGCGGTCCCCCAAGAACCTCATCACAACTTAACGTTGTACCCTGACTCATGCCACTATACCATTTTACACCAGAATCCCGAGTCCACCCATCCCATTGTAACTGTTCCTTAGAATCGTGACTAGACAATACCACTAGTCTCTTAGGACCCTCACTAGACTCACCACCAAACAGTGCCAATGGCCCTGACCTGGGCTGATGCCTGCTCAGATCCCCGCCCCCAGTCCGCTGCAGCTCTGGATGTGTTCCTGTCTCCAGGTCTGGGCGGTCAGAACGGATCCACACCTGATGGCTCCACGCATTTTCCTTCGTGGTGAGTAAATCTGTCCCTATCCCAACCCTATGTTTGGCAATCCAAGGACATTCCTGTGCCGGTGACAGGGAGGGGAATTCTCAAGATTCAAGTCCATCAGTTTAGTGGCCTTTGCAGCAAACGTCAAGGCTGCACAGCCCATCAGCATGCAGTTTGGCAACCTGTGGGATGGTTGGTGGTATTGTCATAATTCCAGAAAGGTGATCGTACATGGTGGCTCATGCCTGTAATCCCAGCACTTTTAAAGACTGAGGCGGGAGGATTGCTTGAGCCCATCCTAGGCAACATAGTAAAATCTCATCTCTTCAAAAATTAAAAATTAAAAAATTAGCTAGGCATGGTGGCATGTACCTGTGGTCCTAGCTACTCAGGAGGCTAAGGCAGAAGGATCTCTTGAACCCAGAAAGTCAAGGCTGTGGTGAGCTATGATTGTGCCATTGCACTCCAGCCTGGGTGACAGACCATCAGCTAAGAAAGTAAGAACAATTTCAGAGAAATGAAGTGGCAGATCTGTTGGATTCCACTTCCTGCAAGCCTCTCAGATGGGAAGGTAGGAGCCTCTGTCCTCTGCACACAGACTGACCTCATCAGGGTCAGTCTCCTCATCTGTAAAACATGAACTTGCTAATCAGGGCATTCATTCAACTAATCTCTGAACCCCCTACCACATGGCAGGGGCCACACTAGGTCCAAAAGACAAGAACAACCTAGGCCCTGCTCACAGGGTGAGCCAGAGATTTATAAGGAGAGGGCAGCAGTGCAGGGTCAAGGGCAGTCAGAGAAGACTTCTTCTAAGAAAGACATTTAAGCTGAGCTCAAAGGTCTTGGGGTGACAAAGTGTATTAGGCATAGGGAATGGATAGAACAAAGCCAAGGGGCAAGGATAAGGGTGACATATTGGAAGAATAGATAGGACTGTGATGCTAGAGCTTGAACATGAGAACATGTTGGGCCCAGGGGGCCATTGAAGGACTGACTCTAGAAGGCCAAAGGATCTAATATGCCTTTATAACTGCCTGCTTTGTGGCAAGTAAATAAAGGAATCCAACAGTGAGGGCGAGAGGCCAGTTAGAAAGGCTGCTACTGCTGGATGTGGTGGCTCATCCCCATAATCCCAGCACTTTGGGAGGCAGAGGCAAGAGAATTGCCTGAGCCTACAGGTTTGAGACTAGTCTGGGCAACATGGTGAGACCTCCTCTCTGCAATTAAAAAAAAAAATTAGCCAGGTGTGGTAACTCAAGCCTGTAATCCCAGCACTTTGGGAGGTGGAAGCGAGAGGACTGCCTGAGCTCAGGGGTTCAAAACCTGAGCAACATGGTGAGGCCTCATCCCTACAATAAATCAAAAAATTAGCCAGGCGTGGTGGCACATATCTGTGGTTCCAGCTACTTGGAAGGTTGAGGTGGAAGGCTCCCCTGAGCCTTATAGGTTGAGACTGTGGTGGCCATGAGCATGCCACTGCACTAAAACCTGAGCTACAGAGTAAGACTCTGACTCAAAAAAAAAAAAAATTAGCTGGGCATGGTAGTGTATACCTGTAGTTCTGACTACATGGAAGGCTGAGGCAGAAAGATCACCTGAGCCCAGCAGGTAAAGGCTGCGATGGCCATGAGCAGCATGCCATTCCACTCCAGCGTGGGAGACATAGTGAGGTTACAACTCAAAAAAAAAAAAAAAAAAAAAAAAAGGCTGCCACTGCCCAGTTTTCTGTCTTAGACAACTAGGGAAGGATGGCAGTGCCATTATAAGGTGGGGAACCAGGAAGAAAGGGGAGGGTAGTGGGCCCTGGCTGAGCTATGGGAGATCACCAGAGAGATCTAGGTTGTAATGTGGCCTTACTGCACCCAGCTCAACCCCCAAGGAGCTGGGTGGGGAGAGCCAGTCTCAAGGACTGTTCTACTGCCCATGAAATAACCCCTCTCTTTTCTCCATCACTTTCAGGGAAATGGCAGCAAATGAACCTCTCAAAACCCACAGAGAATAAGGGAAAGCAGCAAAGGGGTCTCCAGAGGCATCACTGGGTCTGCTGGCTTCTACACTGGGCTCAGCTGCTGAACAGACTCCAGGAACAACTTCAGGGGCCTCAGGGTTGGAGGCAGGGAGTACCCCAGTGCCTGGAGGGCTGGGCCTTCACTACCCTTGGCCTTGCTTCCCCTACATCCCCAGGCACTGGGCAAGTGAAGAATTTGCCTCTACCCTTATCTGGGTGCCTTAAGGAGAGAAGTAGTGTTCCTCCTATCTTGGGTTAGAGCTCAGGAGAAGCTTCTGAGTTGGGGAGGTCAGTAGTTCCTTTTTTGCTCGGTTTTTTTTAATTGTCCCTCTTCCCATCCCCCTGGGATGTGACCCCATAAAGATTTGTCCTTCTGAGAGAAAGCCTTAGGTTGACCAGCTCTGGGATTTGTAAGGAAGATCTGTTCTTCCCTAAGCCTTGAGTTTCCTGATTTTCTCTGGTTTTGCTTTGTTAGCAGAGAGCCAGGGAATCCTGGCCTGGGCCAGGCCTTATACTCTATGGTTCCTTAACTGGTTATTGAAGTATAAGACAGGTTGTCCCTGCTGGCACTATCCAGATGGAGTCACCAGACATCCACCTCCCTGGCTCAACCAGAGCTTTCCAGGTGTGAGCCAAGCAAAGGAAATTGTCATCTCCTAACTGTCCTACTCATATTCCTCTCAATCCTTCTCGAAAGTAAGTTAGGTACTTGAAAGAGGCAGAGCCTACCAGCTGAACCCCTGGGTGGCCTCCTACCCCCACTGCTAAGTGCCCATGGAACTTGGGGTCTGTACCTTGCCCCTCATAGGGAAGTACTAAGCAGTTAGTACAAAGAAGCCTCATCATGCCCCACAGCCTTATTTCGCATCTGGACCCTAGTACAAACAGGGTCCTCATCCTAAGAGCCCATGGGCTCAGCTCCTCCCCACTAGCATCATCTCATCCTCCAGGAATTCTTAATAGAAATGAGCCACAAGCCAGACAGCCCCGCCACTTTCACAGTGGGCCAGGGGAGCTTTCAAATCTGTGGGTGGCAAATGCCCATACAGAAACACTGATTCCTGAAAGCATTATTAAGCCCTGAACCTGCCTCCTTCCCTGAGGGCCCTATTACTGCCTCCCTCTGCTGGGCCAACCAGCTTAGTGTCCCACTGCTTGCTTCCTGTCTACTGGATGTCACATTTCCATCTGGCTGCCTTTGTCTAAGCTGTATATGTGGCAGAGGTACACTGGAAATGGGAATGCACTGAGTTAATGCACATGTACCCACTCCAAAGATGTCTTCCGGCTGTCAAGATGATGGTCTTCGCACCCCCAGGCCTGCCCACTAACACCACTACAAACAGAATCAGAGTCTTACATTTCACCCCAGGCTCAACCAAGGATGTGGCTTATTAAACACAGAAGTGCATCAATTGTGTGGTTATTCAGACAGCACAGGGGTATGCGTGCACAGGGGCAGTTGGAGAGGGAACATCCTAGAGGTTGTTGCACCTCAAGACCCAGATTCAACAAACTTACAGGTATGGAAAGGTGACACCACTAGAGGAGCAGTGATGGGGGTGCCCAACTGGGGCAATATCCCTGTTCTTATAGACCTGGCCTTAAGGAGGACGTATTCCAAGCCTGTCTTCGAGGCATTGAGTTGGCACTTCAGAAAAACCCTGTGAACAAAGAACAATGAAGCCAGAGAATGTGGCAAATAAGGTTTAATTTTTTTTTCAGGACTCAGTGGAGTTCAGTAATGAGTTCCAGAGGTAAAGGTCAGCCCAGGGTAATAAGATAAGTCCAGGAAGAAGCCCAGCTTGCCCTACAATAGCCCTGGGGCTCAGAACAGGTGGTGAGCATGCCATGGTTTGCTACTGGACAGCAGGTTAAGACGACTCTGACTCAGCCCTCCCCAAGTTTACACACAGGCATAGCAGCCATACTGTGAGTCAGGAATCATTCCTGCCCAGGAAGAGGCAACAGTTTGCATTCATGGAAAGCAAACTGCCCATGATAGTAACTGTTTGCAATGTGAGAAACTGTGGTGAGGTAGGTTGGGCAGGTTTTATCCCCTCCCCTCACAAAGATGAGCCTTTGCTCCACAGCCAGCCCTTGGCAGAGTAAGAGAGATTACAGAATCAGTGCTTCTTATTTCCCACCTGCGGGCATCAGTGGGATTATGGACTGAAACAGGATACTGGGTGAGCTAGTCCATCACTCAAATGGGATCCTGAAGTTGGAAAGGCATGGGTTGGGTGGGGAGAATATAAGGTATGGCCCCTTCTTCCTGACAGATAGAACCAGCCTCCAATGTAGCTGTCCACCCCCAGTGAATTCTGTCCAGCCTCCTAACCCCTTGTAGAATGCTACCCAGAGCAAGACTCCTAAGAGGACGGCCCTGCTGTCATCATCACTTAAGGGTCATCTTCACTTGAGGATGTAATAGTGTGTGGGCACAAAGGGCATCTTGCTGACCACAGCCATCTGCTGCTTCCGCCGCACCTCCACCAGCAGCGTTGTCCCTGGCCGACTATATTCCCAGGGCACATAGCCCATCGCCACATTCTTCTTCAGGCAGGGCGAGGGGCATCCACTGGTCACCATACCTGTCCAGGTATAAGCCATGTGTCAGCACCACCCTCCTGTGAGAGACAAGCACTCTCCATCTTCCCTGGTCCACCTACCAATCATGGTACCCTCCATATTCAGGATGGCACTGTGTGCCCGCATTGGTGCTCCCTCACACATCAATCCCACACGCCTCCGCTGCACCTTGTCCTTCAGCTGAGGAACAATGATCTTGGCTCCAGGGAAGTCCATAACAGCTCGTCGGCGCTTCCCTGGAGCATGACACATGACACATAAGCCACAGCCCATAGAAGCCCTAGCTACAAGAAGCCCTAGCTACAAAAACCCCAAGTGATATCCATCTGGCATCAAGGTCCCCTTCACTTGGGTTACTCCCCAGGCTCTATTCCTTCCCTGCACTGCTGTCAAGTCAGCCAACCACCTCCTACCCCCTGGAGGCCATGCTGCCTACCTGCTAAGGCAGTTTCTAATGGGCAAAGCCACAGTGGCACCTTGAGAGAATGAAAGCTCAAGGAGTGCTGAATCACTTGCTCCACGCTATACAATCTTAGCAGCGGTGATGGGCTGGCTGGTCTCATTAAGGGTCAACCCCACCCTTCAGGAACCCGTCCTCGAGTGCTGGCCCAGCTCACCCAATGTCCAACTGAGGCTGCCTTCCACAGGTGTCGTGTGTTCATCAATGTCATTCCCATACAAGCAGAGGCCTGCCTCCAGGCGCAAGCTGTCCCTGGCTGCTAGCCCTGCCAGCTTCACCTCTGAGTTTTCTAGCAGAGCTGTTGCCAGGTGGACAGCCCCTACAGCCGGCACTGAGATCTGCATGAAACACCAGAGAGTAGGTGGGCAGCTGCTACTCAGTCTTGTACCCTGTACTGCCCTAGACCCACTTCTTGACATACCTCCACACCATCCTCTCCTGTGTAGCCACAGCGGGTCACACGGCAGCCAGACACACCAAACACCTCCATCACAGCACTGGTCATGAAGGGCAGTTTCCTCAGGTCATCTGCCACGCCAGCCTGCAGCACCTGGGCCGCAGTGGGGCCTGAACCCAGGGAGCCAGTGACCAAGTATCCAGGTCCTAGCATCCCTCAAAAGCTGGACTGTAGCCCTTACTCAGAGACCAGAATAAGCCCTGAGTAATTCTTACTCTGGAAGTAGTTTAAGATGACTACGTCCCTAGCTCATGGAGTTTTGTGGCAGGTTTGCAAAGGACAAGAGACCAAATTTAGAATTATAGCACACAAATATCACCCCATCCACACCTTGGTATGGCCTCTGTGGTAAACAGTCAATGAAGCCAGAAGGCAAATTTTAGCTCCAACCCCAGTCCAGTACTCTCACCTTGCAAGGCCAGCAGGGCATTATGCACCACCTCCAGGCCCACATCTCTGCCCTGGTTCTGAAGCTCCCTGACCTTTTCCTGAAAGGAAAGAAACAATACATCAGCATCTAGGGCCACTGAGCACCTACCATGGGCTGGACACTGCAGAGTTGGGCAATAAGATAGAAAAGAGGAAGAAAAGAAGGGAGAAAAAAAGATAAGCTAGTGGGCTGGTTCCCATCTTACAAGGCCACATACTACTAAGTGGTAGAGATGACCCAAGCTCAGGTCTGCCCCCCACCACACACACACACACAAAAAAAAAACCTTACCAAAGGATGCTCACTTAGGGGTCAAAGTCACCTTTACCTCCCCTAGTACCACCAAACCTGGCATGCTTCACAGAGGGCCTGCGCGAGTCTTCTAGCTGTTCATTCAAAGAGTCATTTTCTGAGGTCTTTGTCTGTGCCAAGACTGTCCTGAACAACGAGGATGCTGCTCTGTGAACAAGGAACACAAGATGCCTAGAAGACAGAGAGGCTATACCTGCATGAGGACCAAGTCTTTATTCCAGCAGCCAGCGTTGGACACCACATAGAGGTGTCCTTCAGAAGTGTTCGTCACAATCAAGTCATCCAAGATGCCTCCAGCCTCATTGGTAAACAGCGACAGTGTTCCCTAGTGCCAAAGTGGAGATGCTCTACATCTTTGCCTTCGGGTCCCGGAGGTCAAGGCCAAGAGTGAGCCAGAAATACACCCCTGGACCACTTAACCACCACAAACTTAGGAACCCTTATGTGAAGGGCTCAGGGTGTGCAAGCCTGGGCCCAATTCCAAGGTCTTTGATCCTCATTCACTGAGTGTTTTCACCCCCTCCCTACCTTGGGGGCCTCCCTGATCTGGTGGGGCCTCTGCACTGCTCCCCACTCTGTACTGAGAGCCCCATCTAACATTTAGTCTATGATACCTGGGACCTGCTGCCTCATCCCACTAAGACCTGGACATCTCAGCCCATGCCCCAACCCACAGGAAAAAAGCTTCAAAGTCCATCTTGATGATCCTAGACTCTCCCAAGCACTCCATGGCAATACCCCCAAAATATTGGCCTTAGCCTCCCCACTATATGGACGAAGAGTCTGAGGTTGAGAGGTCACATGAATCACCTGGGGATCTTATTATAATAAAGGTTCTGATTCAGCAGATATAGAGAAGCAACTGAGAGTATACAAGGGAGAACACACAAAAAAAGCCCAGAATTAACTTATGAAACATTGTGCATTTATTCTCACATGTTTAAATTTCAGTCACCTTCAAAGTATTCTCCGTTTGATGTGATATTCCTACTGAGAAACTTTTCCTTTCTTTCTTTCTTTTTTTTTTTTGAGTTGGAGTCTCACTCTGTCGCCCAGACTGGAGTGCAGTGGCCGCTCCCGGCCACCACAGCCTCGACCTGCTGGGCTCTGGCGATCCTTCCACCTCAGCCTTCCGAGTAGCCGGAATTACAGGCGCGCGCTACCACGCCTGGCTGATTTTTTGATTTACTGTAGAGATGAGGTTTTGCTGCCCAGGCGGGTCTCGAACCCGCGGGCTCAGGCAATCCACTCACCTCAGCCTCCCAAAGGTGTGGGATTATAGGCTGAGCCACTGAGCCCAGCTCTTTTTTTCTTTTTTAAGTTGGAGTCGCACTCTATCACCTAGGCTGGAATGCAGTGGCACGCTAACAGCCACCCCAGCCTCAGCCTGCTGGGTTCAGGCAATCCCGCTTCAGCTTTCCAAGTAGCTGGAACTACAGGTGTGCACCACCACGCCCAGCTAATTTTTTTATTTATTGTAGAGACGAAGTGTCACCATGTTGCCCAGGTTGGTCTCAAACCTATGGGCTCAGGCAATCCTCTCTCTTCCACTTCCCAAAGTGCTGGGATTACAGGCATGAGCCACCATGCCCAGCTGAGATGCTTTTTCTACTTCTCAAAACCACTTTTGAACTTGTGGATTTTGATGTTTTTTAGTGCTTTTGCCATTTTTTGCTTTGCCTCTTCCATATCGGCAAAACATTCCCCTTTGAGGACTTTTTCATCCAGAAAAACAAAAAATCGTCATTTGGGCAACATTGGGTGAATAAGGAGGGTGAGGCATGGGGGGGGTCATGCCATTTTTGGTAAAGAACTGCTGAACAGTTGGGGCGGGGTGGCTCATCCCTGTAATCCCAGTACTTTGGAGGCAGAGGTGAGAGGATTGCCTGAGCCCAGGGTGTTCAAAACCAGCCTGGGAAACATGGCGAGACCTTGTCTCTACAATAAATCAAAAAATTAGCTGGGCATGGTGGCATATGCTTGTGGTTCCAGTTACTTGGAAGGTTGAGGCGGAAGTATCACCTGAGCCCAGCAGGTCAAGGCTTCAGTAGCTGTGAGTGTGCCACTGCACTCCAGCCTGGGTGACAAAGTGAGACTCCTACTCAAAAAAACTGCTGAACACTCAGTGCAGTGTGGACAGGTGCGCTCATATATCACCTATCGTGAAATGGGCAAACACACTGAAAGACTATCTAAAAACAAATTCACTGAAGTCAAACGCAGCCACTCACAACAATGCTAGCTGGTACACTGATGTTGATGGGTTTCTAGAACACTTACCTAGTGAGGGAAGCCTGTAGTACAAGGGGCCCATCCTCCAAAAAATAATTCCATTTTTTGGGGGGTCCCTCTCACATTCCTAGCAAACCCTAAGAGACAATGAGGCTGCTGATTTAGGGATCACACTTTAAATAGCAAACTGAAGGTCAGAGAGCAGCACATTAACCTTGGTTTTCTGGCCTCCTATCCTGAAGCAGTGAGGCTAGGATAGGTTCCTCCCTGCAAATGGCTGAGTGTCTGGAAATGACTCAGGCACTCTGTCTCCCAAGACTGTAAGCCCCAAGAAGCTCTGTCTGACTCATCTCTGCCTCCAAGCCTGAGGCAGAAACTCAGCTGGTTTGGTGGCTCGTGACTAAGAACACTCATTGAGCAGAAATAAAAGAAGGGCCTACCTGGTTAGGCCTTAGCTCTGCAATGTCTCCAACCACTAGACTCTCCATCAGCATCACGCGGTCTCTACCAAGTATCTTGGTCTGGGGAAGAGATTGAAAGCCTCAGGCCACTAGACAAGGAGGTATCCTTCTAGTCATCCATAGCATAGTCTAGATGACCAGTCTTTTGATTCTACAGGTGGCAAAGGCCCATCTTCTAATTTCCCACATCCCCCAGTACAGGGTGTGACTGAAGGAGGTCAGGGAACTCAAGAGAACCTGCACTTTCTTGAAATAACCCCTTTTTCAAACCAACACCCAGCACAGTAGATGAGAGTGGGTGTCAGCCCAGGATATTAAGGCACACTTCTTAGTGGGAGCAGGCTAGAAAGATTAGAGAGATGATTGAATGACCCTCTGAGTTAATTTCCTAGGGGCCACAGGCTATCCATGACAACCTCAAGACCTCTAGCTCTTCTGGGAAGGCTGTCCCCAGAATCTAGATCCCAGCAAACAAAGCTGAGAAGTGCACCACTGTGAACATGGAGGAAGGCCTGATCTCGTGGCCAGTTGTATTCCCCTGGCTCACCTGCAGCATATGAGACACATCAAAGAGTGAGCAATGCCGGCGTGTGTGCAGGTGCGAGTCCACGTGACTATCCCGGTATTGCACTGGCAGACTCCAACCCGCAAACGCCACCATTTTCCCGCCGTGGGCCAGGTGGAAATCATAGAGTGGTGTCCTGCGAAGTACATCCTGCAGGCAGCCAGGCTTAGTGCCACCAGGGCCCTAGCACTCGACCGCCTCCCTCCCCCACCTTCCTTCCAAGATCAGCACCAAACCCCAGCACCCTCTCTCCCACCTGTGTGCAACTGAGCGGACGACCCAGGGCCGATGAGAGTGCCTGCAGGCGAAAGCCCAGAAGGGACACCATGCTCACAGCCTGCCGCATTGTCGCCTGCAACCGAGGCAGACGGCGCACAGAGGCCACTATTGTGCCAGGCACGCCGGGAGATGTAGTCCGAGTCCCTACTCGGACAGGTCGCTCTACCGCCCAGAGTTTCATAAGAGGAGGCGGGCAGTCCCGAGGGCAGGCTGGGATTTACAGCAGGGAGTGCTGGGACTCCAAACCACAGGGAAACAGCCTCGGGCGCTTTCCGCTAGCTATTTATTCAGGGTAGGTCTGGCAGTCCAGAGCTGATTGGGCTGCTAGACCTCCCCTTGCTAAACCACCCTGCCTCGAAAGAGCCAAAGTTCTAGAGGGCTGAAAGGCCTGAATCAGACATTTAGGACAACAAAAGTGCAAGGTCAAATGGGGGATGGGGAGAGTGAAGCAGTCACAGAAAGGTGGAGCTATCCTGGCAGGCACTAAGGTAATCTGGCCTCATGTAGGGGTCCTCAGCTCTCCCACCAAGTAGAAATGGGCAGCCAGAACAATTATTCATTCCACAGGTATTTATTGATCTTGTTGCACAACCAGGCCCTGTGCTGGGGGCACAGCTGTGAATGAAGCATGGTCCCTGCCACCGTGGTATCCTCTTTACTCACAAACACACACATTGCTCCCTGAACACAGGGTTATGGTCATCACCCTTTCAGAACATGAGTGGAACTAAGTAAGTGAGAACTCGAGTGAGAGCAGAGGGTGACCATTAAAAGGCTGCTGAATTTCCCCCAGGAAACTGTTGGGTCACACACATGTCCAATTTTCCAGGTCCCAGACATTGCAGTACTGCTTCATAATAGTCCCCAGAGGCAAAGCCAGGAAGAACCAGAAGGAAACAGGATTTTCTCACAAGCTTCTCACATGAAGAGCAGCCCGCATCATTCAGTGGTTAGTCAAAGGTAATGGAGGACCCCTGCCTCTTAAAAGGCACCAATGAGAACCCTTACTTGGACCTACCCCCACACCAAAGTTGACCCCTCATCATGACTCTTGGAAAGGGGCAACTGGGAGAAGGGACATGGATGTGCTTTGGGCTGTGTCAGATGGCAGACAGGTCCCAGCTCTCATTCTAAGGTCCCAGCCTTGCCAGAGGAACCGGCCCAGGCCTAATGGGCACACCCATTTGAACATCCATCCAGGAGCTAGTTCAAGGACCGAGGAACTCAGGACACCCAAATCCTCAGCTTTGCTTCCTAGGCAAGCATCAGAAGAGTTTAGACATTTATTTTTGTGGCACAACACAAAGGGAAAGGAGGCCACTAGGGGGCGCAAAGGAAGAAATGGGGTTTCTGTTTCTTAAAACTCCTAATCTTGGCCTTTCAGGTTAGATGGAGCAGGTTCTAGTGCATCAGAGTAGTGGAATTGCACTGAGGGTGAGGGAGCAGGCAGAAGACAGGGGTGTATGTGTTGGCAGGAGGGCAGAGGGCACTCGAGGATTCTTACTAAGTAGAAGTGGAGTGTTTTTAGGGTAGAAGAAAGAAGAATTGGGTGGCAGCCAGGCAAAGACAGACAGCCCCTGTCAGGAGCTCATGCTGAAGCAACACAGTAAGCCCTTAAGGAACTTGAATCTGTGAATGTGACCCAGACAAAACAGGCATGCAGGCAACATTCAGAATGCACAGGGAACACACTTCGGCCTCTGGTGGCCCAAACCAAGCCTGGGTGGACACGGAAAGGCCAATGTCTTGGCTAGGAGCCATCATTCAAGTGTAGGAGAGCAAATTCAGGTCATAACAGCCATCCACCTGCAACACAAAAGACCATCAGGTCTGACCCGCTCAGGGCAATGCAAGCCAAGCAGAGGGAAGCAACACTTACATCAAAGCGGCCAATCCTCGCCGACGTGTGACTGGCCCGGATCATCTCTGTCAGTGCCCACATCTGCTGCACCTCGGAGGATACTCTGCTGGGGTCTGGGAGACCCTGCTCCAGAAAGAGGGGTCAGTGGCCATGGGTCTCTCCCAGCAATACCCCTAGGGCTCCGGGAAGGCCAAGTTGGGCTAGGGGCCCTCCAGCTGAGACCAGGAACATTTCCAGATGACTTGTGAAACATGAGGCTGGGGCCTCATGTTCAGTAGGCAGCCCATATAAAAGAGTCCTCAAATCCCATAGAACACCCAAGAGGAAGATGGCACAGAATAAACCAAGGGCCCTGGGTCCAGCCCCAGATTATTACAGAATGGGGCCCACCTGGGCCTGTGCTGGACACCAGTGTCACTCACACATGGTACTATTTCAGGGTGAGGGCTTACCTCACAGAGGAGGGCAGGCTGCTCACAGGGCACTGGGTGTGAAAGCCACTTAGGAAAGGTCACAGAAGGACTCTGCAAATCAAAGGCATATTGCCTTGAGTAAGAAAGAGTGGAAGACCTCTCTGGGACCAGATTCCAAGGTCCTGGGAGCAGAGAAAAAGGGCCACTATGCCTCAGATACTGGGAAAATCCTGTTTAAGGAGTTCACGGAGACCTAAGAAGACAATCAGACTACGTTCTTCTGCTATGCAGAAAGAGGCCTCAGAAATACATGCAGCAGAAGTATCTCCCAGCATCTAAAGTCTCCAGCTCTGAAAGTCAGGGGATATGGGGACATGGCCTCACCTCTCATCATGAGCTTCCAGCATTCTCACCCAGTTAACCTCCATCAAGGCCTTCTTCTGAGTCACAATCTGCACTCATCACCCATCCCAGCACCCCAGCTCTCTCAGTCGTAGCTGAAATCTTCCTAGGAAGGGGCCAGCCAACAGCTGTAAGCTAGTCACTTACCTTTGGTCCCTCCTGGTAGATCTGCAACTCTTCCACCGTAAAAGACAGCCACAGGGGTGATGGCTGCCGCAGAATCAGACGTAGCTCAAGGACTCTGGCCATGTCACACAGCATCTGACATACACATAAACAAGGACCCAGCAAGGACCCAGTTCACTGCCTAGGAGCCTCCCAACCAGCAATGAGGCAAGATGCCGCCTCCCCAAGCCTTTGGGATGGAAACAGTAGTAGTTTCTTCAAGGTACTTGCCTGAAAGTCACAACTCAGGCCAGACTTGTCCCCCTTCTTCCTTCCTGATATACTGACCCAATCCCCACACCTCCTGCAAGTTTCCTCTGAGCTGCCCTGGCCATGTTGAAGCCCAGCTGACCTGGTGCTTGAACAGCGATACATACTCCTGGGCTCCTTCCTCACTGTGTGGGTCAGGCATCAGACAATAGTCCCGCAGGCAGGTCACCCACTTGGTCGGTGCATGCGTTGAGGTATGTTGACGGACACGAATGCTCAAAAAGGCTGTGTAGTAATTCTTAAACATGATCTCCTGCAACTAGAGCACCCACAACCCATCACAACAAATCAGACCCAGGTTCAGGGCCTGAAAGGCTCAAAGGCACCATTTCCTCCCTCCTTTTGGAAGTACTCTTCCACTAAACTATTTCAACAAGCATCACTGAGACCCCAAAGACAATTCTGCTTTCCTGGAGGTGCTTACAATCTAAATAAGTAGGTCATGCAAACAAGCCATGACTGCAGATATTGCCATGTGTCCAAAATGCTACTAGAGGTCAGAGTCCTAACCCTGGAGAAGGCAAAAAATATACATAAGAGGCCTGAAGAGGAGTTCAAGTGGACCAGGAAATGTAGATAGCGTAAAAGTAACATATACAAAGAAGCACCAGAGGATGAGAGAACCTGGTGTGCCACTGTGAATCAGCCTGGTTACAGCAGCAGTTCTTATCACTGGATACTCATCAGAATTACCCAAGGGAAAATAATTTATTTTTTCTTTTTGAGTTCAAGTCTCACTCTGTCACCAGGCTGGAGTGCAGTGGCACACTCACAGCCACCGCAGCCTCAACCTGCTGGGCTCAACCTTCCAAGTAGCTGGAAATACAGGCACATGCCACCATGCCTGGCTAATTTTTTTATTTATTGTAGAGATGAGATCTCTTTAAGTTACCCAGGCTGGTCTCAAACCCTTGGCCTCAGGCAATCCTCTCACCTCGGCCTCCCAAAGTGTGGGATTATCGGGGTGGGTCACTGCACCCAGCCTAAAAAATTTATTTTTAATACAGGTGTCCAGGCTCCCCCTCAAATTTACTAAATCAGGATATCCAGGGCTGGGCCCTTTATTTAAGTTTCTCAACTGATAGTAAGCAACAGCTTGGAGGTTAACCATACAATACAGGGCAAAGTGCACGGGGTGGAGTTTCAGCTAGGATGCAGAGACAGAGTGGCTCTGCATGCCAGACTATTAGAGGTAGGTTTTGTACTCTATATTGAGGTCATGTCATGAGTGTCCAGTCACTCTGTCAGCTGATGTGGAAGTGCAACATTGGGAGATACTTGACCTCTGGCAGGGATTATAGGAATGGGGGAGGAGACAGGTTTTGGGGTAAATCATTATTTAACAATCCCCAACTGTGGCCAGGGATAAACTAACCTCTACTTGATTCACTATTTGGTATTTTCAGCTTACTAGCTTAACGACCTAGCTTACTCTCTGGCACCTCCATGCCAGCGTTGTCCTGAGTATGGGTAAAAGTCGTTGAAGATAACAGGACAGGAACCTCTGTTTCTAGGAAATGTGTTAACTGAAGGAATAAATGAATGATTAGCAAGTTTGCGGGAATAGGGAATACTGAAGAGGCTTTCCTGTAAATGATTAAATTCATGGGATAGGGAATACTGAAGAGGTTTTCCTGTAAATGATTAAATTCATGCGCCCGGGAGCCTGGGTCGCGCCCACAGGGCTTGCTCACCTCGAAGGGCGCGACGCTGGGGAAGGTGACATCGATGACCAGCACGCCAGGCCGGCCTTGGGAGGTCCGCACGTCGCCTACCTGCAGGGCTACGGTGCCTTTCACATGACAGGGCACCGACACGCGGGACATGGTGCCAACAGCCACGACCAAGCGCAACCGCTGCTTGGAGCCCCCTAATCAACAGTCCTTCCCGGCATCCCCAAGCAGGCCTCAGGAACTACAACTCCCGGGAGGGCTCGCGCTCGACCACCCCAGCCAATCACCGAAGCTCAGGGTGGAATGGAAGTCGGAAGTGCCTGCGGAAGTTTTCCTTCAGCCAACCACCGCGAGAGCCTTGGAGCTGACCGCGGGCCGCGCCCCGCAAATGCAGTCGGTATCCAAACGGTCACGATCCTTTTGGGCTCTCTTCATCTTGTTCGGTTTACGCCACCGCGTGGGAGAGCTTGTCAAAGCATGGAAAGTGGCCTGCGTGTGTCAAAGCATGGAAAGTGGCCTGGCGTGGTTACTCACAGCAGTCATACCAGCACTTTGGAAGCCCGAGGCCGCAGGATTGCTTGAGCTAGAGAGTTCAAGACCAGCCTGGAGGCCGGGCTCGGTGGCTTAGCCTGTAATCCTAGCACTTTGGAAGCCCGAGTCGAGTGGATTGCCTGAGCCCGCGGGCTCGAGACCAGCGCGGGCAACTTGCGAGACCTCGTCTCTACGATAAAAATCAAAAAAGTTAGCCGGGCGTGGCAGCGCGCGCCTGTAGTTCCGGTCACTTGGAAGGCTGAGGCGGAAGGATCCCCTGCACTCCAGCCTGGCCAACAGAGCGAGACTCTGACTCAAAAAAAAAAAACCCAAAAGAGCCGGGCTCGGTGGCTCAGCCTGTAATCCGGCGCCTTTGGGAGGCTGAGGTGAGTGGATTGCCTGAGCCCGCGGGTTCGAGACCTGCCTGGGCAACTTGGCGAGACCATCTCTACAATAAAATCAAAATGAGGCGCGTGGTAGCGCGCGCCTGTAGTTCCAGCTGCTTGGAAGGCTGAGGCGAAAGGATCGCCGGAGCCCAGCAGGTCGAGGCTGCGGTGGCCGGGAGCGGCCACTGCACTCCAGTCTGGGTGACAGAGTGAGACTCCAACTCAAAAACAAACAAACAAATTAGCCAGGCGTGGAGGTGCACAGCTGCAATCCCAGCTGCTAGATGGACAGAGGTGAGAAGAACGTCTGAGCCCAGAAAGTCGAGGCTGCGGTGAGCCGTGATCATACTACTGCAGTCTGGAGTGAGTGACAGAGTGAGACTCCAACTCAAAAAATTTAAAAAAATAAATAAGCCGGGCTCAGTGGCTCAGCCTGTAATCCCGCACCTTTGGGAGGCTGGGGTGAGTGGATTGCCTGAGCCCACGGGTCCGAGACCCGCCTGGGCAACTTGGTGAGATCTCATCTCTACAATAAATCAGAAAATGAGCCGGGCGTGGTAGTGCACACCTGTAGTTCCAGCTACTTGGAAAGCTGAGGCGGAAGGATCACAGGAGCCCAGCAGGTCGAGGCTGCGGTGACCGGGAGTGGCCACTGCACTCCAGTCCGGGTGACAGAGTGAGACTCCAACTCAAAAAAAAAAAGAAAAGAAAAACAGTTTGAGGCCAGGTGCAGTGGCTCACACCTATAATCCCAGCACTTTGGGAGACTGAAGTGAGAGGACTGCCTGAGCCCCATGGGTTTGAGACCAGCCTGGGCAATATGACGAGACCTCATCTCTACAGTAAATCAAAAAATCAGCAGGGGCCAGGCTCGGTGGCTCAGCCTGTAATCCCAGCACTTTGGGAGTCTGAGTCAAGTGAATTGCCTGAGCCCAAGGGTTCGAGACCAGCCTGGGCAACTTGATGAGACCTCGTCTCTACAATAAATCACAAAAATTAGCCGAGTGTGGTAGCGCGCTATGGGCACAGAAGCTCTGTATCCCTTACTTCCTTACTTTGACCTAGGCATCTCTTCAATCTGTGTGCTTTGCAATAGACTTTATAGTAACCAGTAAACTTAAGGTTTTCCCTGAGTTCTGTGACCCACTCTAGCAAATTAATCGAACCCAAAGAAGGAATTGTGAGAACCTTAGTTTGAAGCCAGTGGGTCAGAAGTTCAGAGGCCACACTTCCAACTGGTGTCTGGAGTGAGGACTAGTCTTGAGGTCTGAGCCTTCAACCTATGGGATCTAACTCTACCTGAAAGTAATGTGGGAATTGAATTGGAGACACCCAATTAGTGTCCTCTCCTTGGTGTGCAGGGAAAAATCCACACATTTGGTCACAGAAGTGTTCTTCTGTGTTGATTGTTTTTGTGATGGTGTGAAAGCAGAGGAAAAATACTGTTTGAGAGATTTTTTTTTCCTGAAATACATGCCTTGCATTTTCCTGTCTCCGTATTCTTCTATATGCTATTTATTCCTAGCTAGAATGTCCTCACCTACTAAATTCCCACCCAATTCTGAAGGTTCAGATTTTCTTTTCTTTTTTTTTTCTTTTTTAGAGTATGAGTCTCATTCCATCACCCAGGCTGGAGTGCAGTGGCATGCTTACGGCCTCTACAGCCTCAACCTGCTGGGTTCAGGTGATCCTTCCACCTCAGCCTTCCAACTAGCTGGAACTATACGTGCACACCACCATGCCCAGCTAATTTTTTTTTTTTT